ACTACATAAAGATAAGTATGTTATTATTTTATGTGAAAGTATTTTGAAAATTGTATTGCTGAGAGAAAGAGACAAGATGGCAAAGTAAAAGCAGTTATTTGCTTGAGCTCTCCCTCAAACCCCTCCAAATACCTGTAAAAACTGACTCTAAACAAATTCTAGAGCAGCAGAATCCACAAAAAGACAGAATGAAATGAATTTCCAGCCCAAGACAACCTGGATGATTGATAGGAAAGGTCTGTTGTGCTGGACTGGGAGAGAAGCTCAGTTTAGCATAGACAGGGCAGGCAAAGACCAGGCCTCAGCCCACCTAGTCAGGGCTGAGGACACTGAATCACTTCCAGCTGTGGTGGTTTCCAGAATTCTCAACCCACAAATGTCAAAGACAACTTAGAAGGTCAGTAAGAAAGGTCTGTCTGACAGACCTGGATGAGAAAGGAGCACAGTCCAGCCCCAGCTGCTTCTGGAGTTGTTGACCCACACACAGTTAGGGGGATACAGTGACTGATCAGAGGAAGATTGCAGGTATCTCTTTGCTGGCACTAAGGCAGGGTTCTTTTGCTTTGCCCATGTTTGGATCTGGGTTGCAGTCCTGGGTGGCGGTCCTGGGGGAGGAGGAGCACTGAAGTGGTGGAGCTTATGGCAGCAGTGGAGAGGGAATCATCCTTACACTTCCAAGGAAGAAAAGAGTGCTTGTGGTCACTCATAGACCAGAGCACAGGCCAGGAAACACATAAATACTTCCCCTTTGATGATACCACCTTGGAAGAACTAGAAATTTACAGATCCCTGGAGGTATCTCTGAAAACAGCTGCACAAAACCCCTGAAGCTTAGGACAGTACACCCTCCACACTGGAAGCAGAGCCCTACCTTAACAAAGAGTTAAAAAGTCGAGTAATTGGCTGGGAATACAAGCAAACAGTGGAGGAAAAAAAAAACTCAGACTATATAATCTTACTTTGGTGACAAAGAAGATCAAAACATACAACCAGAAGAAGACAACAAAATCAAAACTCTTACATCCAAAGCGTCTAAAAAAAAATATGAATTGGTCTCAGGCCATGGAAGGGCTCAAAAAGGATTTTAAAAAGCAAGTAAGAGAAGTAGAGGAAAAATTGGAAAGAGAAATAAGAGTGATGCAAGAACATCATGAAAAACAAGTCAACAGCTCCTAAAGGAGACCCAAAAAAAACCTTAAAAAATAGACTAACCCAAATGGCAGAAGAGGTCCAAAAAACCAATGAGCAGAAGAATGACTTAAAAAGCAGACTTGGCCAAATGGAAAAGTAGGTCCAAAAGAATAATTCCTTAAAAATTAGAATGGAGCAAATGGAAGCCAATTACTCTATGAGAAATCAAGAAATTATAAAAACAAAACCAAAAGAATGAAAAAAAAATAGGACACAATGTGAAATATCTTACTGGAAAAATAACTCACCTGGAAAATAGATCCAGGAAAGATAATTTTAAAATTATTGGACTACCTGAAAGCCACGATCAAAAAAAAGAACCTAGACATCATCTTTTAAGAAATTATCAAGGAAAACTATCCTGATATTCTAGAACCAGGGGGTAAAATAGAAATTGAAACAATCTACCAATCATCTCCTGAAAGAGAACCCAAAAGGAAAACCCCTAGGGATATCATAGCCAAATTCCAAAGTTTCCAGGTCAAGGAGAAAATATTGCAAGCAGCCAGAAAGAAACAATTCAAGTATTGTGGAAACACAATCAAGATAATGTGAGATTTAGCAGCTTCTACATTAAGGGACTAGAGGGCTTGGAAGGAGTGAGGAAGGGAGAGAATTTGGAACTCAAAGTTTTAGAAATGAATGTTAAAAATTGTTTTTAAATACAATTGAAATAATATAGGTAATGGGGTATATAAATCTATCCTACGCTACAGGAAAATGGAAGGGTAAGCGGATAAGAGAAGGGGGTGGGTGTGATAAAAGAAAGGGCAGATTGGGGGAAGGGGTTTTCAGAATGCATGCCATCTTGGGGTGGGGGGAGGGGAGAGATGGGGAGAAAATTTGGAACTCATCTTGTGGAAGTGAATGTTGAAAATGAAAAATAAATTAATTATTTTTTTTTAAAAAGAGAGAAAAAAAGAAAATTATACTGTTTTGTGCCTTCATTAAGAAGCACTCAATGAGAGTAGCAACAAAAATTGAGAATTGTTTATACCACAAATTCACTTTTCAATTACCAAATTGTTCCCTAGATTTTGATATAGTATTTTGAATTGCTTCTCAAGCCTTCTACAGTTTAACTATGAAACATATGTTGCTGGCATTTCTTAGGATGTTTCACTTTTTTGAGATAAATAATCAAAGGCTAAAACTATCTGACTAAAACCCACTGTCCTAGAAAAATCCTCATAACATAATGACCTAAAGAAGACAATGACATTATCAAAGCAACAGGAACTAAAAATAGCTTTGGCAGCAGCTAAGAGCTATATTGAACTAGTGAAAAAAAGTTCAGAAAGGCAAAGGAATAAGATAATTCAATAAGTTCAGTGACTCAATAAGCATTTATTAAGCTCCTATAATGTACCAGGTACTGTGCTAAGCACTAAGGGTACAAAGCAAGGCAAAAGTCAGTCCCTGCTCTCAAAGAGCTCATAGTCTAATGGAGAATACAACATGAGAACAATTATGTACAAACAAGATATATGCAGTATATATTGGAGATGATTAATAGAGGGGAGATATTAGCATTAAGAGCAATGGAAAAAAGCTTCTTGTGGAAAGTGGAATTTTAGTTGGAACTTGGAAGCCAGAGAAATCAGGAAGTTGAGATGAGCAGAGACAGAATTAGAGTTGCTTGCCTTTTTACAGAATTTTAGCTTCCAAAGAGTTTACAAATCTTTGCTCTCAACTGATTCTTATGCTAATCCTTTCTATCAGTGTAACAGGATAGTATTATTACTTCTTGTTTACAGATGAACAAATTGACACTCTAAGCAATTAAGTCAGGGGTGGGAACCTGTATGTGGCCTTTTAGGTCCTCTAGTGTGGCCCTTTGAGTTCAAGTTTTACAGAACAAATTCTTTTATTAAGGGGATTTGTTCTGTGAAGTTTGTATTTAGTCAAAAGGCCACACCCAAGGACCTAGAAGGGTACAAGTGGCCTCAAGGCCACAGGTTCCCCACCCTTAGTTAAGTGAATAGTCAAAGTTCAGGCATCAAAATATTTAGAATTGGGAGAGATTTCAGTGATCTAATTCAACTTCCTCTTTTTATTCATAATAAATATTGGAGCCAGAACTAGTCATACCTTCTAATTATTAGTGTGATTGAGTTAATAAATTGAATCACCCAACCCCATATAAAGTAAATGTTTAGATGCTGTGTCCTCATTTCTTAAATAGGTGAGAGCAGTTGTCTGTTAAGTCAATAAATCATAGGCTTTGGAATTGTGAATGAACCTTTTATCAATTAAATTAATTAATTTTTCAATTTTATCAATTAAATTAATTAATCAATTAAGATATCATTGGATGAGTTGGAGTGACTTTGCATAGGAAGTGTTTTAGGATTGGTTGAGGAAACTTGGTTACACCCTATGTGTCATCTATAAGTCATCTTTTGGTTTGGAATCATAGATTTAAGAGTGTCTAGCAATTTATTGGTGGAGGCCTCCAGCCAAGCTCCTGAGAAGGAATTAGTTGGTAGGGGAAGGGAAAGGAAGGAGGGGAGAAGAAAGTGTCTCAGTTTCAGCATGAGTCTCTTCTACCTCCTCCTCTTGACTGAAAAAGAACATGTGACTTTGGGAGGGTCAGAAGATTTGGATAGAGCAAAGAGGTGGGAACCAATAAATGATGTAAGACCTGGTGGAATGCAGCCATGTGAATTAAAAACCTCCCAAATTAATGTGACCTTGTCATGCATTAATAGAAGCACAGGAAGCAAAATAAGGAAGGTTATAGCCCTGATGAAGGCTATATTGGTTTAGACCATTACTGGCATATGATTTTCTGGGCACCACATTTTTGATAGTTTAAGTATGTTCAGAGGACAGTGGTTAGTACTGCAGAGGTACTTAAAACTATGACATGAGAGGATGGGTTGAAGAAAATGAGGTTGTTTTTCTGAAGTGCTTCTGGGAAAGACACAACTTATTTGATTCAGGCAACTAAATTTATATGATTATAAATTAGAGAAGTGTTGAGATTGGAGTAGGTAAAGGGAGTGCTCCCAGCAGGAGTTCCCATAGCTACAAAAGGATGCATTTGCAAGGCTGTTATTTGGAAGGGGATTAGCTTTGTTCTAGTTGGCTTCAGAGATAATTAGGAAAAATTGGTGGCAGTTACAGATAGGCAGATTTAGTTCAATATAAGGAAAACATTCCTAACAACTCAAAATGTCCTGAAGTGAAACTGGCTTCCTTGTGATATAGTACAAAATGTCATAATTGGCAGATTCTTGTCTTGTCCAAGTGGCAAATTGGCCATATGCTTTGCTTTTCTCTTCTAGATTTCTATCTTGATTTAATTTGAGTACTCTTAAACATCTCCATTACAAGAGTGTAGGGAGGAAATAATCAAAATAAAGGTTAAATTCAAAAGATTTTATAGGGAGGTTCTGAATTTCATCTATGAATTTCATTTATTCCGAGTGCAAAGACAATTTCACTGAGAATTTTATAAAATTGCCAATAAAGTGTGATAGATAAAAATGTACCGGTACTTTAATAATTCCAAGTTGACAGAAGCCAACATATTGAAAAAATAGCTGATGTTCTGTTATGAATTCACAAAAGGTAATTTATGAATTAAATAATCTTTTTTAAATTTATGCAGTTTTTAATGAAGAACATGTCAAAGAATGACAAAAATTTGCTGCCTTAGAGAGAAATGCATTCTTTATCAAAGACAGTTTTCTTTTATTGGAATTTCTTCACAATGGATTAATTTAACCATAGAAATCAGGTTTGTAATGTTAATAATCTTGTTTAAGCAAAAAGGCTAATGGGATTCTTTCATTTGCTTGCAGATTTTCAGACGTTGCTGGTTGGTTTTCAAGAAAGCATCCAGCAAAGGACCCAGAAGGCTCGAAAAATTTCCAGATGAAAAGGCAGCTTATTTCAGAAACTTTCATAAGGTAAGTCATAGTTTTCTGAGGCCATGGGGAATAATTGAACCTTTGACAGCAACTGGTGGAGAAATTTCTTTTGATAGATGAAATCTGCAGAGGCAAAAATACCATCACCAGGATAAAATGTCCCCATTCTGATAAAGTGTAAAAGTTTTTTTTTCACCTTTACTTTAATCATCTGGTCTGAATGCCAGTAGTGTCTTTGGAAAATGAAAGACCTGCTTTTATTGCTACTTTGCAAAATGAGATGACTCATCATTCAACCAGATCATTTGTAAAGGTGCTGAATAGGCACATTTCTTCTGTTCAGGTTAATTGTGAATTTGTTACTTTGGTTTTAACTGTAAGCAGTACTTGAGTTCTGCTACATTTTTAGCAACATTATTGATATTATGAGGACTCCATTTCTTACTCCCATCATTTCTCCATTTTCCATCAACTTTGATGAACATTTACTAAATTCACATCATAGACTGCTTCTGGTGACACAAAATCCTCCCTGGTCACTGCAGTTATCTGGTGTATACCTCTCTAGCCTGGGCACCACTTTCCTTTGTTTTTGTCATCCTTTGGCAGGAGGGCCTTATTGTTGAAAATCATTGAAAAAGATAAAATATCATGAGAAAATATCATTGATATCTTTTGACTTCAAAAACTTCCACGGCATATATCAAGGTATTAGAGTTCAGTGCCCTCTCTTGCCCAGCAATTAAAAACCTGTAGCTAGGGCAAATATTGAGTAGCTAAGTTGTACAGGAGAGTACTAAGCCTGGAGTCAGGAAATCCTGAGTTCAATTGTCATCTCAGATACCTACTAGCTGTGTGACCCTGGGCAAGTCATTTAATCCTATTTGCCTCAGTTTCCTCAGCTCTCAAATGAACTGAAGAAGGAAATGGCAAATCACTCCAATGTCTTTGCCAAGGAAACCCTAGATGAGTCCACAAAGTATCAGACACAATTGAAGTGACTAACAACATGAAAACAGTAGATAACCTGTAGAAAGTTTGCTGCTGAGTGGCATTTTAGACAATTGTTATAGGTAGTATCCCTCTCCCTATACGTACCTTAACTTCCCCCTTTCTTCTCCTATTTCTTCTCTCTTATATTCTCCTCTGTTCATTTCTCTTCTTCCTCTTTCTTTATTTTTTCTCCTAATTTTAAACTAAAAGTATTGTGCATGAGCAGTGCTTACCTCTGGTAGTGATACCTGAGATAAATAAACATCTTATCCTTGGTCTAGGCTAGAGTCTGTTTGATTGGAAATCACTAGCAGTATTCTTAGGCTGTCAGTTGATAGGCAAACCTTACCACTGAGTTACTCTGTAAATAACCAATAAGTCTGATTGGCCAGAGGCCAATATTTTGAGCTTGGTGGCTGAATACCAAATTCATACATGTAAGTCATGAATAAGTAATGATCTCAGCAAATATATATATGGGTTTGGTTTGGTTTGGTTTTTATGTTTCTTCCTAGCATGCTGTCAAAGGGTAGTAGAAGATTAGAACCACTAGAGGAACTTTTAATGACATAGTTTCTTAATAGAAAGTAATGGCTTAGATTTCATTGACTTGCAAGCAAGGTTTCCCAAAGCACCTTAATAACTGGAATCATTACACACTGCCCCTAAAATATTACTTATATCATGTCAGTCTTATGAAGATTAATGTTTCATTATTGCAACTTACTCCTGATAACCCTGAGTGAACTAACTTAGTTTGCAAGTGATTTAGGAAACCCCAAGGAATTTTAACTTATTCTGGCTGCTGTGATTAATTGTGAAGGAAAACACTAATGTTAAATCAGCACTTCCATGTTAAACACTGGAGCATGAGTCCTCATGGAGAACAAACATTAGGGGCTATTCCAGGAGAATAGTAAACTGGGATTCTTTTGCCCTTTTTAAAATTCATGTTTGTTTGTTTGTTTTTTTAATTTTATATTAAAAAGTAACATATTCTGATGGACAAAGATAAATACAACTTCAAAGTCTCACTCCTTCCACATAAGTGACTCCATCAGGTCGCTTAACATCTCAGTGCCCCAGACAACTTTCAAAGATCATAAATTTCAGAGCTCATGACTTTGACATGGGTAGAGGAGATTTTTGCACCAAGAGTTCCTTACATTAATGTAATCATGGTCCAAGCAACAACAATAACTATATGTGGACAACAGATTTACATACATACATACACACATAGATATGCAAAAACATATGTTCGGTTTTTTTTAAGTTTTGCTTTTTATTATTTCTTTCTGCCCTGATCCACAATAATATCATCAACATCAACCTCCCATGAATTTAAAATTTTTATACTTTTTGATTTCTCTTACCTGAGCCTTTCTAAACATCACCTATTTCTTCTCCCTTCATAAAAAAAGAATAACTTGTGTTTGTGTAAAGGTTAATGTTTGCAGAAGGCTTTACTTTCACAATCTCATTAGGCCACCTTCACAACTCAATGAAATAAAAAATGTATTATTACCCTTACTTTATAGATGAGGAAAGCTAGTCTCAGAGAGATGTAATGACTTACCCATAAGGTTCTACTAACATGCAAAGCCAGGACCAAAAATCAGTTCATCAGACTACGAGGGCTTTATTCATTACACTAAACTCTACAGACTTACATACTCTAATAGGTATGGTTGGTGCTGTATTCCTCCATCCCTCATCCTTTGCACAGCTTTACTTTTCTCCTTTCCAAATATCTTATTTCTATCAGCTGCTTACCTTAAAAATGATATACAATGAATCTCCTCCTAAAATAGGCATCAAACTACTTGTCCAAGGCCAAACGCTTAATCCATTCACACAAATCTCATAGTAAAGTAGTAAATAGTACTTTTAAGTGATATTTTGCTTAGTTAAAAAAAAAGCTACCAATATAATAATTTAACATTTCTAAAAGCAAATTTCAAAACTCTAAAGAAAAATATGACATTTATAGGACAGTGTCCAATTTGATATGCTTGCTGAAGGCAAGAATGTGTAATGCCAGTTAGCAATGTAGAGAGCCTTCAGGTCACAGTAAGGTTATATCTTCCATAAAGAAGACAGTTCTTTCAAATGATCCTTATAAATCATGTTCTCTTGACCTTTCACCACTCAGACTTCCCTCTTCTGGATATTACACACAAAGGCAGGTGGATTCTTCCCATTTGTTTTATTGCTTAGGTTGAAAACTAATAAGGAACAAGGAGATTGTTATTAACTAGTTTGAGCAAGTCATTTAACTTCTCTAAGTCTCAATTTTCTTATCTATAAGATGAGAGGGTATGATTCCATGATCTCTAAGGTCCCTTACAACTCTAATATTTCTAATGTTTGGTAATTTCATAATACTTTCTTATGAAGAAGAATTTATTATTAAGTGAGTCTGTCATGAATCCTGTACAGAGATTTAATCTGTGAAGTGTGTTATACTAGACCTGATACGAGTTGAAAATCTTTTGTATCTTTTAGTGTGGAATATATGTTGTTGTTGATCATGCTGATGAGGCAGCATGGTGGTACAGAAAGTAGAGAATTTGATGTAGAGTCAGGAAGATATAGATTTGACCCATGCCTCAGACAATTAGTTTAGCCAAGCTATTTAATGTCTCTGTGCCTCAACTTCTTCAACTTTAGCCTCTAAAGTCAATTACATCCCTTAATCTATATTCCTGTGATTTTATATTATCTCCGACTTGGATCATCTAGAGAGCTTTTCAGTGAGGCTATCCCACTTCATAATGCTGTTTCAGTTGAAATGTCTTTCCATGTTGGAAAAGATTTCCATGGGGAGGGGCAGAGCCAAGATGGTGGAGGGAAAGCAGTGACTTGCTTGAGCTCTCCCTCAAACCCCTCCAAATACCTATAAAAATTGTCTCTAAACAAATTCTAAAGCAGCAGAACCCACAAAAAAACTGAGTAAAACAAATTTCCAGTCAAAGACAACCTGGATGACTGATCAGAAAGGTATATCAAGCTGGGCGGGGAGAGGAGTGCAGTTTGGTGTGGGCTCACAGGCTGCAGCAAACCTGGAGCAGGCCTCAGAGGACTGAATCGCAGGCAGCTGTGGTGGTTTCCAGACTTCTCAACCCTCAAATGCCAAAGACAGCTTGGAATATTAGTGGGAAAAGTCTGTCTGCAGTGAGAGAAGAAGCTAGGTCTCATCCGCCCTCAGAGCAGCAGCTGCCTCCTGAGCTTCTGGCCCACAGACTGAGGGGGAATCCAGTGGCTGATCAGAGCAGGATTGCAAGGATCTCTTTGCCAGTGCTGAGGCAGGAATCTCTTGCTTTTCCTGTGCTTGGATCTGGGTCACAGTTCTGATGGGCGGTCCTGGGACAAGGAGGAGTACTGGCATGGTGGAGCTTGTTGTGGTGGTGGAGAGGAAACACCTTGCCCCTTATCATATTACCTTGGAAGAACTGAAAATTTTCAGTTCCCTGGAAGTATCTCTAAAAATAGTATACAAACCCCTGAAGCTTGGGACAGTACATTCTCCATATTGAAAGCAGACTCTTACCTTAACAAAGGTTAAAACTCAAGTAATTGGTTGGGATCGTGAGAAAACAGCTCAAAAAGAGTCAGACTATATTATCTTACATTGGTGACAAAGAAGATCAAAGCATACAACCAGAAGAAGACAACAAAGTCAAAGCTTCTACATCCAAAGCCTCCAAGAAAAATATGAATCAGTCCAAGGCCTTGGAAGAGCTCAAAAAGGATTTCAAGAAGCAAGAGAAGTAGAGGGAAAACTGGGAAGAGAAATGAGAGTGATGCAAGAAAATCTTGAAAAGCAAGTTAACAGCTTGCTAAAGGAGACCCCAAAAAATACTGAAAAAAATAACACCTTAAAAAATAGCCTAACCCAAATGGCAAAAGAGGTCCAAAAAGCCAATGAGGAGAAGAATGCCCTAAAAAGAAAAATTGGCCAAATGGAAAAGGAAGTCCAAAAGCTTACTGAAGAAAATACTTCTTTAAAAATTAGAATAGAGCAATTGGAACCTAGTGATTTT